CATCAAAATAACAAATGGCTAGTTATAATAACATTTATTTTACCATAACTTAAAAAAAACCTTAGAAAATAAAATATTTTGTTTTATTTTTGATTACTCTGACTCCCAACTTTGATTACCCCGACCATGAAAATTTTGATGTCGCATAACTTTTTCTTCCTGCTTGCTACAGATGGGCCAATATAAAAAATATGCTCGTAATAATGTCTATTTTGAAATGTTTCACCTAAACTTACTCTAAATTCAAAAATAAAAAAGGTCGGGGTAATCAACAAAATAATCCAGATCCGGAGAATGACCGTTATATGGTATTAAACATAAAATAAAATAACATATAGTAGCTAGTACTGAAATTAAATGATTCATACCAACTTTTGACCTCTTTACAGGACTTTATATCACTTTAGTTCCGAATTGATTAAGTATTCTGTTTACTGTTCTACTTACTAGTAGTTCCTAAAAGGAAGACTCACCTAANCACCTTACTCAAACTCTCAAACTTTATTCAAAGAGTATCAACTTACACCACCTTCATTGTCGCACTACGGTGTGAGTGGGTAAAGTACAGCAAGGTAGAGTCAGTGTGGTGTGAGCCACTGGACATTTTAAATTTATTATGTAGTTTTCCAGCGATTTGGCTCACTTTTAGCTTGGTCCACGGGCAGCAACAGCAACTGGGCCCATTCTAAGATAGATTTTTGTTGATTTCGTATTTTTATTTATTACAAAAACATTGAATGTGGGACCAGTTGTCGGAAGAAAACATATTTTTAAAAATACAAACCGGTGACTTGGCCCGTGGACCATGCTAAAGTGGGCCATGTCACTGGAAAACTCAAAATTGCGACGACTAGTTTTCGGGGTTCGTCCTCCGAGCAGAAAATGTCCTCGTAGACACTGGACAATGGTACCCTGTACTGTGCACATCAGAAATCGCTCGTATTCCCTCCACACAAGATGCCTATATCTCAATGTGCCGTTGTCCGTGTGTGACATTGTACGTTGACCGTGATCGATTGCCGCGACATCCACGGCCACACTGGATTATTGATGCCCATCGATTTGTCAACACGCGCGTAATTCAATTGGACATGTTTGTTCGGCGATAATTCGAGGATTATGATGTTTCATGTTGGCAACACTGGCGAGGTACAGATTTTGAAAACAGAAGTTAGGTTGCAAGATAATGGCCGTCAATTGTTTTTAAATTTTATTCTACTTTCCAATTAATTAGGGAAGAATTTAGTTTGTTGTTTTATTACCAGCTGATGGCCAGTACGTGACCTTCCAGCGTATGATGAATGTAATGATTAATTATGTTGTATCAATTTTTTATTTCATTTACGAGTAGTATGCCAACTATTGCTGACTTCTCCCTCAAAGCGTTGACCAAATTACTAGTAATTTTGTCACGGTCACACACAATATCTAAGGGAAGAGTGGGGTGGGTCCTAACTCTGTTGGAACCACTCTGTTAGAGTTACTTCGTGATCATGGCGCTTGCAACAGTGCCGAAATATCGGAAACTCGAAATTAAGGTAGGTACACGGTAGCAATCCCGTCAATAATATTATTGTTGGAAACTCGGCCATCTTTTTTAAGCTAGATTTTATTCGCAACATTTATCGATAAATTCCTCGTTTACTCTATGTTAACACATGTCAATAGTCCGCGACTCTAGAATTAAAGTGTTTCTAAGTTTGCAGCTGAAGCAAGCTTCAATAATGCGCGCAACCGCTAATTTGTTCTACTACCCGCCACTTTTCGCTTTGTTTGGAAGTCACAGTCATAACGTCCGACTGATGGATTTGTTTATTTGTTTAGGTAATTGGTTCGTTTATATATTATATATTATGTTGCAGAATAAAAAAAAATGTTTTTATTTTTTGTTTTGTATTTTTTGTAAACGTGGTGTCTGATGTTTTTGATGCATTAGAATAAATACTTAGATTCTAAGAAGTAATGTATTTTTAAACTACGAAATCGAAAGAAAATGATTTATGGGAAATTAATTTGTTTTACAAAAATAAAATAACTTACTGGTCTTTTAAAATAGAAGCATAGACCGAATTTAATTGGTAGAGTGTTTGGCCATTATTTCCCACCCTGTACACAATTAATACGATATTAAATTTTTAGTTTACAAAATGTAATTAAAATAAATAGACAAAGAAAAAAATCTTGTGGCCCATGAGGGGATCGAACCCGCGACCTTCGCGTTATTAGCACGACGCTCTAACCAACTGAGCTAATGGGCCGTTGGGAATAAGACTGAAATTAAATATCTTTTTTTATACTCACAAGTGGATCAATCGTATCAACAATATTACAATACAATAAATTAATTTTGATAACAACAATGCGTTGATAACACAATAGAGATAATTACGAGTTATTGTCCTATGTAATATTTTCGCAAAAACCGCATTGTCAAGAAAAAGTGTATCAGTTTGTAACACGTTTTGGTATTTGTAACTGTTAATGCCGTAAAAGGCAATTTTGCGAACATCATGCTTCTTCAACCCCTCCTTGGGGGTAAGTCAGGTAAATCAGAGAGGGTTGTGCTGCAGAAGAGACTAATGTTCTAATGATTAATTCTAGTGATTCTAACGTGGGGAGTGCCTATGGACGAATTCGTTTCGAATTGAAGAGTGGGAGTCGGCCCCATGCGCATTGTTTCCCACTAAAACCTCCTACGGGTGGCCATAGGCGTGAATACGGAAGATCGCTGCTCGCACGCACTTCGTTAGGTACCTCAGAAGACTNCAGCGTATAATGAATGTAATGATTAATTATGTTGTATCAATTTTTTATTTCATTTACGAGTAGTATGCCAACTATTGCTGACTTCTCCCTCAAAGCGTTGACCAAATTACTAGTAATTTTGTCACGGTCACAATATCTAAGGGAAGAGTGGGGTGGGTCCTAATTCTGTTGGAACCACTCTGTTAGAGTTACTTCGTGATCATGGCGCTTGCAACAGTGCCGAAATATCGGAAACTCGAAATTACACGTATATTACGTACACGGTAGCAATCCCGTCAATAATATTATTGTTGGAACCTCGGCCATCTTTTTATAAGCTAAATTTTATTCGCAACATTTATCGATAAATCCCTCGTTTACTCTATGTTAACACATGTCAATAGTCCGCGACTCTAGAATTAAAGTGTTTCTAAGAAAGTTTGCAGCTGAAGCTTCAATAATGCGCGCAACCGCTAATTTGTTCTACTACCTGCCACTTAGGCTTCGCTTTGTTTGGAAGTCACAATCATAACGTCCGATTGATGGATTTGTTTATTTTTGTGGTACCTAATTGGTTCGTTTATATTATGTTGCAGAATAAAAAAAAATGTTTTTATTTTTTGTTTTGTATTTTTTGTAAACGTGGTGTCTGATGTTTTTGATGCATTAGAATAAATACTTAGATTCTAAGAAGTAATGTATTTTTAAACTACGAAACCGAAAGAAAATGATTTATGGGAAAATAATTTGTTTTACTAAAATAAAATAACTTAACTACTGGTCTTTTAACATAGAAGCATAGACCGAATTTAATTGGTAGTGTTTGGCCATTATTTCCCACCCTGTACACAATTAATACGATATTAAATTTTTAGTTTACAAAATGTAATTAAAATAAATAGACAAAGAAAAAAATCTTGTGGCCCATGAGGGGATCGAACCCGCGACCTTCGCGTTATTAGCACGACGCTCTAACCAACTGAGCTAATGGGCCGTTGAGAATAAGACTGAAATTAAATATCTTTTTTTGGATCAATCGTATCAACAATATTACAATACAATAAATTAATCTTGAAAACAATAATGCGTTGATAACACAATAGAGATAATTACGGGTATTGTGTTTACTATGTAATATTTTCACAAAAACCGCAGTGTCAAGAAAAGTGTATCAGTTGTAACACGTTTTGGTATTTGTAACATTAAAGTAATATGACTTATGTTCTAATGCCGTAAAAGGCGATTTATCCCATCATAAATCTAATATGCTAACATCAGGTCTCCCTAACCCTAACCAGGGTGGGGATAGTCTGGTAAATCAGAAAAGTTTGTGCTCCTTTAGAGGAGACGAAGTGTCCTGATGACGTATTCGCAGCGAATCGAGCTAAAAATTGAATTCTTTTGTTTCGAACTCTTAGGCTAAGTTGCACCATCTAACGCTTTTTTAACGGTTGTTATAACGATAACCGGTGCTTTTTATATGGATTTGACAGATTTTTGACGTTTGTCAAAGTTAAAATAAGATGATGCATCTGATGACGTATTCGCAGCGAATCGAGCTAAAAATTGAGTTCTTTTATTTCGAACTTATTATTTTCCTCTGATTCACTTCAAAATTCAAATTCACTAGTGTGACTTACCGCTATGAGCATGTTGGACTGGTCGAAGTAGTCGGCGACAGGCATGACGTTCTTGTAGAAGTTGTTGAGCTCCATCCTGGCGAGACTCAGCACGACATGTCCCAACCGGGCTCCGTACTCGATCTGTCTCTCCAGCACCCTCGAGGATTATGTGGGGCTCTTTGAAGAATGGGAGTCGCCCCATGAGCATTGTTTCCCACTAAAACCTCATACGGGTCGCCATAGGAGTGAATACGGAAGATCGCTGCTCGCACGCACTTCGTGAGGTACCTCAGAAGATTCGAGTTGAATGACGCCTATTCTATGTAATACTCAATAATAATATGCCTATATTTAGGGGTTGCCTTGAAAAACAATGCAGCTTTCATTTTTCTACCCCCTTGTGACTCACCGCTAACAGCTTGTTGTCTAGGCTGGTAGAAACAGCGAGGACAGATCGAGCTAAATACCTACTTCATTTGTTTCGAACTCTTTTAATTTTCGAAACTTTAAAAAAGAATTGAGTATGTGACTCACCGCTATAAGCATGTTGGACTGGTCGAATACTTCATTTGTTTCGAACTCTTTCAATTTTTTTCTTCTAAACTTTAAAAAAGTATTCAGTATGTGACTCACCGCTATGAGCATGTTGGACTGGTCGAAGTAGTCGGCGACCGGCATGACGTTCTTGTAGAAGTTGTTGAGCTCCATCCTGGCCAGACTCAGCACGACATGTCCCAACCGGGCTCCGTACTCGATCTGTCTCTCCAGGACTCGCTGTCGCCAGCTGACGAGGACCACGCCGCTTATGGTCTGAATCTGGAACAAGGATATTATTATGCTGGAGTCTGTGAAAAGGGTGGTCTTCGTAAATGGTGTGCTTATTTAATGTGATGACGTACAATCTGGATTTTTGGACAAGCAATTTTTGCAGTAAGATTCTTATTATCGTTTCTATCGTAATATTATGTCATATCATATCGTGCGACAAGCAAGGAATATGTTTCAACTTTCGACTAAGAACGGGCTGAATAATATCGATTTACTTCGATGAACGTCTAGCCAGCGCTATCCAGCCAGCCAGGTAAAGAAGTGGATTGCCAATTTAGATCGTAAGGTATTACGATTTCAATCGCAGTTACTTAAAACTTAAATCAGAGTAGGTATGAAGATACTCTATACCTACCACTGAATTATTTTTGAAATACTGGGATACATTGTACTTTTTATAGCAGCACATTCCTATATTATGTGTCTTGTTACCCATCTAAGTGAGTCACTATTTCGCAAAAGCCACAATCAATGGCGAAGCAAGTGATTCAACCTGACTCAAGTAACGAACGAAAGATGTTTTACAATAAATCTACTTGTAGTTCCAATAGAACCTTAGTTCGCTTTGAAATGAGCATCCCGACAAATGCCCTTGTTGTCGTGACTGAAGCAAAATATTTGTAAATATAAAAAGTCGGTCATGCAGGTACGTATCATGCTAGTTTACCTACATGGGCATCGTGAATCATTGGTACAGTCATGTTAATGTAAATCGTAGTTAAAATGTATGTTAAAGTGGCGAAGTGATTCTTTGGACACATCAATGAAAACTGATCAGGGATGAAGATCAGCTAAAGACGACTTGATTGAATGTAGAGCCAAAAACTATTTGACATAGCATGCAATTCTAAGCTCTAACCCACTCGTAACACAAGCTTATTACACTCGTCGTCAAATAAATCGCACCTCGCGCGACAAGCACTTTCAAACGTATGCATCCCCACTTCCCACCAATATTGGCACTATTTAAAAGCCTAGTTCTAAACTTGATTTCACTATGGGAAAGGTTTTTACCATAAAAATGTGTCTTTAGAAGGATCCAGAGTCACTTCTTGAAAAAATAGGTAGTTACGCTTGAGCCATCTTTTATGGGTTTTATCTGTTAAGTTGAGATTAATCGCTATCCATCTGTTAAAGAGGACACGTGAGATCATTATTTGGTTTTATAACCATAAAAAATGGTCTAATTGATCCCAGAGGTGAGCCCAAAGTGAGGTATTTTTTCAAGTCACATTTATGGTATATGTTAATCATTGATTAATAAATTGAATGTGTTTTTCTTTAACGATATTTATTGGGCTTTCAAATAACACCAATATTGTTGGGGCACCATGATTATGTCAGAAGAAAATCTTTAAAGTCCGCGTCGCGGAAGGTGCGATTTATTTGATGTTGAGTATATTTAGCTTAGTATTACGAGAAATTAATGAGACTAATATTCTTTCTAAAAAAATTGAAATGATCTATAAATCACTATTTATATAAACATCATCATCATCATCATCATCATCATTTCAGCCATAGGACGTCCACTGCTGAACATAGGCCTCCCCCAATGCTTTCCATGTTGATCGATTGGTAGCGACCTGCGTCCAGCGCTTCCCTGCTACCTTTACGATGTCGTCGCTCCACCTATATGAACCATTATATGAACACAATAAAAAAACCGTTCATCTTCCTCATAACATTCTGCTTTAGGGAAGTAAAAACTTCGATTGTTTTAAGTAAACCATGAAAAAATCTAAAATCATCAAACACAAGCCCTGATACTTGATAGTAATGGCGTTATAAAATTCACTCTGGTGTAATTTAGAATTTGTAAACTGCTAATGTTAGTGACTGTACTTGAAAAAAATCAGTTTAGTGTCAGCACCGAACATGACGCGATCATGACGCCGCGTTTCCACAGGTGCTGAAGCGGCGTGACGTCACGGAGCTATACAATATCGACAGAAATAATTTAGCTGAGTGGCTTTGGCATGCTTAGTTAGCACTATGGTGTTAGCATCTAGGTCGTTAAGACTATACCAATATTATACTTAAATGCGAAAACAAACTACGCAACAGAAAGTACTGACAAGTATTTGTAAATAAAAGATTAAATTGCAATAACTTGGTAAAAGGCCGATGGGGCAGAAAGGTTCTGGAATGGAGGCCGCGTACCGGAAAACGCAGCGTGGGACGTCCACCTACAAGGTGGACCGACGACATCGTAAAGGTAGCAGGGAAGCGCTGGACGCAGGCCGCTACCAATCGATCAACATGGAAAGCATTGGGGGAGGCCTATGTTCAGCATCAGCAGTGGACGTCCTATGGCTGAAATGATGATGATGATGATGATGATGATGATGATGAAAAGGCATAGAGTAAAAGTTTGTATGGGGAACCTATTTGTTTATCAAATAGAGCCAGAGATTTTGGGTTCATTCCTAGTGGGCATACTTAGAATTAAAACTTTGTGTATTTGTTCTCAGTTTGGTTAGGACATTGTAGACTGGAATCTTGAAATAAATATTATAATATAGGAACCGAATTGAGAACCTCTTCCTTTTGTTGAAGTCGGTTAAAAAGCCATCTAAGACGGTTTTATTCGGCATATATGTAGAGTTTATTAGACTGTCAGCACCAGGGTTGTTACGACCATGTTATAAAGAATAGAACTTGTACCTAACTTATGGTACTTAAACTTATTCATAGAAATAAAATATCTACAGGATCGTCCAGTTCAAGACACAATAAATACACACATCCTAACTCCTCAGAGACCGCAAAACGATCCAGTTTGTAAACTAAACCATTTCATTAACACTGTTGCATTACCCCGGAGTTATAGCACCAATCACCATGGTAAATTGACCTTTCGTGCCAGCTAATTGATACGGACAATCACATAAATTCCTATGCAATACACTGCCGTGGTGCAAAGTTCATAGGTAAATGAATTGATATTGTGGTGCTTGTGACTCGTGGAGAGATAATTCGTAAGTGGGAAATAATTTCTTGTTCGTAAGAAGGTGGGAAATTCAGCTAGCTGAACCTTTAAGAACTGTAAGATTGTCACTAGATAGTTTTGAAAACTATAAGGAAGTAAGAAAGTTTAGATCAAAGGCTTTATTTAGTAAAACAATTTAGGTAGAGTTAACATTTTTGATTAATAAAGTAAACACATATTATGCTCCTCTCTATAATTAGATAAGTAAGCGACCTTCTAAAATGCAGTGAAGTTATCTAAAATAACGATAAAAAGGCATTCATGGATTCATTTTTTATTCTATTCTCAAAATGGTGCATTCTCTACCGTCGTCCCTAATTAAATCGTCTTGTCTGCCTGTAACATTCAATTTAGGCAGCTGAATCTGTTTCGATGTTATTAGATTGACTTTGGTAATAATATGACCAGAGGGGTAGGGGTAGAGGTAAAATTTATAGTCCAAAATAAAATAGGCAAAGTTGCAGTTCTTAGGAAGAAGGTAGTTCAGCAGAACATTGAACTGTGCTATTAAATCGCCAAACATAAGTTATGAAAGGAACTCCACTCCGACCCAGTTCCACGTGGGTAATTGGGTATAACAAAGCGGTTCGATGCCAAGAACGAAAGGCATTCGGAAGTCGATGTCAGCGGAAAATTAATGGCGTCGTGAGGTCTAAGAGTGCCTTTGGGCAGTCTAGACGTTAACAGTGGTGTAGATCGCAATCTGTGGTTCATTCTTACCAAGATTTTGGTGACGATAGCAGTTAATCTTTTACACTTAACTGTAGTTAGGTATAACTTTACTACAATACATTAAACGCATGAAAACGCCTATGTAGAACTTAGATGTTTTTACCTATGGAGATTTAATCTAGAAGATGAGAGATGAGACCTCAAAGGGGATATTAGGGATGGTAACTATGGGAAAGCCATGAGTTCACGAAAATCCAAAGGATAACTTCTGACTTTGTAACCTAACTGGGTTTAATAGTTCTGTTAATTAAAATTAGGTACTATAATGAAGTAGGTACGGACTATGTACTCAGAACTTTGAAGAATTTTTCTAACATTGAATCTAGAAGATGGGACTTTAATGAAATAACCCATGGACCAATAGTAGTCTGATAAATAAAATATTTGAATTTGAAATCTCAAAGGGGATGGTTTCTATGACCAACCCATAAGTTCGCGAAAATTTAAAAGAAAACTCCTGACTTTGAACTAATAGTCTTTGCATTAAGGTTTTAATTTAACGCGTTGATAGAGTTGTTTTGATCGGGAAAAGCATTTCAAAATGATAATAAACTATTTGCTGACTATTTTTGGTAGCCATGAATTCACACAATATCTATTATGTTTATTTGCTATTTTCGCAGTAGACAGTAATTTTGATCAAAATCTTTTGTTGGTTTGGTATTGTTTACGCGAGGCGCGTGTATATTTTCATTTGAAAATGTACTTTGTACCAATTTGCTAAGAGTCCAAAACCGTTTGATAGAGTTTGACCAATTGATATAGACCCAGCCGAATCGCTGGGAATCGATTCGGTCTGCGTGAAGTGACAAATTTAAAATTATTTCCGTCGCCCTTGACATGTAATGTGTACCAGACGATTGGTGTACACGCGTGTAACAACCGAATTCACAACTATGGTGTCAGAATTCAGCACCGTCTGGTGTCTGACATGGGCCAAGCCTATGGTGTCAGAATTCAGCGCCATTCATTAGTGTCTGACATGGCCAAGCCGCGGGCCGCTTTTGAAAAACAGATTTCAGGCTAAGGAAAAGCTTAAAGACGAAGTTTAATGTAGCCTTCAATATCTGAACCATACAAAAAACAACAAACTGGCCCATGATAGAAAAATTAACCCAAAATCTCCAGCTCAACAAAAGAAGTCAACTCGTAACCACTAGATTAGAATACAGAAAATCGCGCTTTAACCGGTTTTATTTAATACATATCAGGAGCTGGAAGAAATAAGAGGGATAGGTACTTATCGATCTTTATAGCGCTCCCTAGGAGAAGTGTTCCGTATAGAGGACTTATTAAGTACAAACAAACTTACTATTCCAGTGAAGCTGCGTAATCTATACTAATATTATAAATGCGAAAGTAACTCTGTCTGTCGGTCTGTCTGTCTCTCTTTCACGCCTAAACCACTGAACCGATTTTAATGAAATTTGGCATAGACAGGCCTGGCTCACTCCGCGCGGTACATCCGATAATTACCTACAGCGAAGCGCCCCGCCGGCGGGTATTATATCAGTCGAGTGTCACGCGCGCGCCCGTCAGGACGCTGGCGTGCGTTGTAGTATGATTATAATTCTATGATCGAAGTATTATTTAAAAATGGACATAAAGAGAAAGAAATATTGTGCGGCGTTCGGGTGTTAAAATTCGAAAAGAAATCTACCGGATTTATCTTTTTTTTTCGCTTCCCAAAGATGCTGAAAGGTATGTTGGCCATGTAGGTAATCAATAATTCTTAGGATAGTATAGGAACCTAACCTACCATGACTACTGCTCAGAATTCGTTCGTTCGTTTCAGCCAAATGACGTCCACTGCTGGACAAAGGCCTCTCACAAGGTTTTCCATAATGAACGCATACTTACCTACATACGTACCTCATTACAAATAAGTAGATTAATTATTTTTTCACTAGACAGCAACCCTAACAGCGTAAGAAGAGTTCAGAGGCACGCGATAGAAAGAGACAAACCTTGTAGGTGAATAAAATTGTAGGTACGTAGTGCTGTGCGAGCTGAATTCCACTGTATCGCGTCGTAGCAAGACTCGCATTTATTTAAATCGTCTTGCGGAGTAATCCTTCTGTACCTGTACTATTACTTATTCTGTGGCATAGAGATAGTTTGAGTCCCGGGAAAGGACAGAGGATAGTTTTTATCCCGGTTTTTGAAACAATAATAAAGTTTTTCTGTGACAGACAAAATTCCACGACGGCGATGCCGCGGGCGGAAATCTAGTACTAAATATGGGCTGAAATGATAATGTGATGGGATTGTTTGAAAAAATCTGGAACATTTTATTTTTTCACGGTTAAAACTAGCTTAAAATGCTAATGATCACGTACCTTATCTGAGTACTCAGCCACGTCCCTCATAGAGCGCGGGTAGCCTGATACGAGGTAGGTTTTGGCTGTAGGCGCCATCTTCATCTCCAGCATCAGAACCTCGGTGACCGTCTTGCTGGACAGCGTCCCGAAGTCTTGCATGTCTAGAAGAGACGGATTTGTTAGTACTAGCACAGAATAATAATGTACTAGCGCAGAAGTCATAGAATAAAGGACCCAAAGTTGAACGATATCAATTTTAAATAAGTGTATGCTTGGAAAGTCATGCACAATGTTTGTTTTGTGCGAGAATTGAATCCTCTTTGGAATAAGTATAGTTTGCGCTACTGTAATATGGTAACATGGTCAAAATTGGTACTTAATCTTTTAGAACACATTGAATCGTCTCATCATTATTATAAAGATTCGCCATTGACTTTTCTACTTTCGCATGTTGTCCTAAAATTTTTTGCCTTGCCTAGATCCCTAGGACCTACTCGTAGGGGGTTACTGTCGATTCGCCACAAAGTCGATTCAACACTCTAAAAAGTATTAAGGACGAATTCAAACATGCTTTTTTTCGTGACGTATCGATTCTCTGGCAAATCAACAATAAACCGACCTAGGGCATTGAAGTAATATTACTAGCTCACTTAGGTACATTAATATCTCCATGACCTAGGGCCATATTCTTAAACGGCTCTAAATAATGTACTATCGTCTCATCTATAAATATTACACAATATCTAGCTCGAAAATACCTTCTCATAAATACCTAGAACCATGACGCGCCGCGTTTCAAATATTAATATCCACGCGGTACGAGTAAATAACTAATGTAAGGTAAAAATCGGACGACACCGCGACGTTTAAAGTTTCCATGTCAGAACTCAATTTCTTTCGTAAGTGTTTAAGGCATCCTTGAGACGACATATGTGGTTTCCCACGGACATTAGGGCCCTCGCCCACGGCGACTTTTTGTAGCGATGCAGTCGCGCTGCTGTTGCGCGTTAGTAGCGCGTTGGTATCACTTATGTAGTGCGTTGCAAATGCGACTAACGCGCGTTAGTAGCGATGCCGTCGCGTGGGCGAGGACCTAAGGCGAATGAGGGCGAACTAAGATAATGATATAGAGAAAGACACCGTAATTTTATGAATAGTAGATTGATTTTCGTGTACGAGTATTTCTGAAACTTGAAGGAGAAAATTAAGTGAAAATATTGTTTTATCTCTGTCACAAAAAATCTTCTATAATCAACATTCTGTGTTTACTGGATATTAACTATGTATGCTGAATATGGGCGAATATTTAGGGAAATAAGATTTATTTTTATCCTGGAAACGCGGGTTTGAATCTCGCCGCCGCTCGACTATTTTGTGGTGAGCCTACTCGTGCCACAAGCATATTATTTAGCTTAGCCCGGGGGCTATCGGGATTATTAGTAATTTTGTGCAGTACAAATTACTAATATTCAATAGGCGACATTGTGATCAAGAAAAGTCACTAAAAAAAAACACATTCAATAAAGCTGCTCCTCACCTTTGACTATTTGACCATGTATTTCATTACATAGTTGTGGATGACGGCTAGGTCAGTAATCTATACTTCTATACTCTATATACTAATATTATAAATGCGAAAGTAACTCTGTCTGTCTTGCTTTCACGCCTAAACCACTGAAGCGATTTTGATTAAAGGCATAGAGATAGTTTGAGTCCCGGGAAAGGACATAGGATAGTTTTTATCGTTATCGCAATAAAGTTTTTCTGTGACAAACAAAATTCCACTCGGGCGAAGCCGCGGGCGGAAAGCTAGTTATTTAATATGCATATTTTATTGCACGGGGCGTGCACCGGACGATTATGCAAAGTTAAACCGGTAATTCAGTATAATATGCGCTTTCATGTTCATAGTCAAGGTCTGATGTATTATTGCAGGTCAATTAAAAGATTTTACACCTAAGGCCATACTATTTTTAGCTCCGGCACTTATGGATCTATCTCATCGTTCCTATCACTGCAACTCCTGTTTATGATCTATAGCAGCGGTTCCCAAACTTATTTTGTCTACTGCCCACCTTGAGAATAAATTCTTTTTAGTGCCCCCATTTGTAGTCGAGAGTCGAGTGCTCAGTCGGTGTCTAAGAGACCTCCTAGTAGATGACGCCTCCCAAGCCTCTATACAACGTCTCGATTTTTTTTCTGGGTCTCTTACCGCCCCCCTTTAAGCCTGCAGCGCCCACAAGGGGGCGTTATCGCCCACTTTGGGAAAGACTGATCTATAGTATAATAAACCGGTCCATAAAAATCTCTCATAAAGGTAGCAGGAAGGCTCTGGCTGCAGGCCGCTACCAACCGGTCATAATGGAAATAATTGGGGGAGGCCTATGTTTAGCAGTGGACGTCTTATGGCTGAAATGATGATAATGATGAAACCCTATGTTAAAAATGTGGTTAGCAAAGGCGATTAACAATTTTGTGACAAATACATGTTTTGCAATTTTTCGCGTTTATTAGCGGTACCTATCTATGTATTTAAATCAGTCGTTTTGGTGACCGTATTAAAGTAATTAATACTTAAAAGCATTTTGTCTTGATGCATGAAGAAGGTGGATTTTAGGACTCATAAAAGTTTTATGAAAAGACTGTAAAGGGCCTAAGTACTGAATAACAGATTTGACGTTCACTGTAATGTACTGCACTAAAAAATATTATAAATTGTTTTGTTTTGATAAGAGACAAAAATTATATGTGCTTCGTATACCTAAATAATGACTAATGTACCGAATAACAGCACGAATCAAAAACACCCAAATTATACAAATAGAAAAGTCCTTTTAATACCTCTTCGAATACTCAGTCCGAAATTTTTCACTGAATTCACGAAAATCGTCCACAAATTATATGGCACGAAGAAGAGCAAATACAAATGTACTTAATGAGGGTAATTGCAATGTTTACCAAACGGTCAAGCGCACGAACTCTGAATACGGAATGGGATCGATTTGAGTCCCAGTAAAAGGCGACAGGCAGAAACTAGCTATTAGCTGCTGTTTCTATTTAGGAGTCGAATGAGTCGTCTAATTTGATCGACATTGTACGCGGTCATGGTTTGCAGCAATCTTGAACTCTTTAGTGATTTAATGGACATTAAACATGTCCATAGGAGCCTAGATCGCTGCACAAATCTAAATACGCTCATTGCGGCGCTAGAGTCGCTTTTCAGGGGCTGTTTTTATTGTCATTTAGAACTTTTTGTCAAAACACGATGTATCATTTATTTTGACTATATCACGCAAAATGCGCGATTTCAGAAAATAACTTATGATTAGTAACTTTAAATACAAAACGAGTACTAACATTACGTTAGAGATGTTGAAGGCCGCCTAACTCAAAGCTTCAGGCACTTTTAATACCAGGAGCAAAAGATGCAAACTGTTGCCATAAGTTTTTAAGTTCTAAAAGTGCTTTTAAAAGCCTACTTGCAAAAACAAAATGAGTTTAATGAGGTTTATTTTTACATCTCATCAAGACACGAGATTTTAGATTGGCTTTCAGATTCTGACGATCTTTTAATAAATAATTCCGCAGTTAAATCGCTCTTAAATTTAAAGCTAACGAAAAGCTCTTAACGTCCAACTTCCCGTTAGGACTAACGACTAATCACCAGTCTCCGCGACAATTAAAAAATGCTGTACCGTTTCCGATGGCGTACTGCTGCAGCAGATCCGTCATGTTGATATGGACCACCCCGCGGCGCTCCTGCATGAGGTTGTCGCAGTGGGTCACCTTGCCGCTGCCTGGGCCGCCTGCGGACGTAAACATCTGTTAATTCACAATGGTATTTGTTTCTTTGGAACACACTACTAAAACCAGCCTATGAACTGCTAGAGAGCGGAGCGGTTCCTCCGGACCGCATTACTCTAAAACGCTCCCTAGAAGTTCATACAGATTGGCTGTGCGGAGCGGGTCCGCACCGGACGGTCCGCGTGACACTAAAACCAGCCTTAGAGAGTAAGGTATCATTGTCTTTCAAGACAGTACTCCAGAAATTACAGCCGGAGATTTTAACACCGGAAAGCGCAGCGTAGGATGTTCACCCATAAGGTGTCGCCCAATATGCGCTTACACTAAGGCTGGGTTGTACCATCTTACTTTAACTGTGACAAACGTCAAAAGTGTCAAATTCCATACAATAACCACCGGTTATCGTCAAAGTTACGGTCAAAATTAGGTGGTGCAACTCAGCCTAAGACTGGGTTGCACCATCTTACTTTAACCTTAACAAACGTCAAAAGTCTATCAAACTCCATACAAAAAACACCGCTTTATTATAAGTTACGGCGTTTAATGTTTAAACGAAGGTACAAGTAAAATAGGACTTCAGCTATTATTCATCAAATATCTGCAACATAGTTACATCATGCCTGTAGCTAGCACTAAATTCATCAAACATTAAAAACTAACACTTTAATTCTACGGACTAGCTGTTTGCTATAGGCTTGAGTAATACTAATTATACTCGTAGAGTTAGTAGCTGTTAATAACAAATGAATTGACAGAACCCTTCAATTGTGACATGACTCATACTGTAAAGTCATTATTGCATGACTTTGTTTTAATAGGTAGGTTAACGCTCTATGTAATTTTGTTTAGAATATACGCTAAAGAGTAAAGTGGCGCCCAACGTGGTGTGTTCAAAATTCACTTTATTTTTGTTTTCTTTCTCCTATCAGTATTGGAAAATGTATCTCAATGTTGTGCAACATATTAATATCCAGCTTGAATATGACGGGCGTTTGCTGGTTCAAATTTGAGAATGACGGCAGGTACCTTCAAACGGCCAGCCCACAGAACACACGGGCGGTGCGGTGCCGCAACGCATCATGTGCTTTGGCTCTTACATAGTTACGGCTGGGAGAGACTCTACGCTTCCTCGCTTTAAACATATTGTCACTCTATATTACTAGTTAGTGCAAGATTCAGCACATACCCAGGACGAATATGACCGGCACGTTTGGGGGCTCGAATTTGACGTGGCTGGAGTTCTGCATAGGAAGAAGTCGCGACCAGGAGCACTACGCCGTCTCGTGCCAAATATTACCTACTTAATATACCTACCAAATGTAGTGTAACTCTATGTACCTACTACAGTACTAGTTAGGGCAAGATCCAGTACATTAAATACCCAGGACAAATATGACCGGCACGTTTGGCGGCTCGAACTTGACGTGACTGGAGTTCTACATAGGAAAAAGAAGCGACCAAGAGCACTACGCAGTACTACGCCGCAGCGTAGTGCTCCTGGTCACGTCTTTTTCCGCGCGCCGTTTCGTGCCAAATATACCATCATCATCATCATCATCTCAGCCATAGGACGTCCACTGCTGAACATAGGCCTCCCCCAATGCTTTCCATGTTGCCCGGTTGCTAGCGGCCTGCGTCCAAATTTAGTATAACTCTATGTACTGGTTAGGGCAAGATTCAGTACATACCCAGGACGAATATGACCGGCACGTTTGGCGGCTCGAACTTGACGTGGCTGGAGTTCTGCATGGGGAAGGAGGCGGCCGGGGGCGTCGCGCGGCCGGCCCACGCGCTCTCGCGCCGGCTGCGGTCGCCGCTTGTGGTCTCCAACTCATCGTTGTTTTGTTCTGGACGAGGGAAATACAGTTGAAATGCGAAATTGAAAGAGGTTTAATACAGTTGAAACGCTAAATTGAAAGAGGTTTCTTAGTTTTTACATTGGCGCTTGTGGTCTCCAACTCATCGTTGTTTTGTTCTGGACGAGGGAAACTCAATTAAATTGCGAATTTAAGAAATGTTAAAGAGGTTTCCTACTGCTACATATTGGACTCCTTCTACCTCCACCAACCGTTATGAAAGAAAAAGTATCTACAATTGCAAATTAAAATTGAATTAATGTTGGTGGTTAGTATACAGATTGTATAATAAAATTGTTTGTTTTCATATCATATGGACATGTGAGTAAATGAAAATTGTAGCTAATAACAGATACCTAATTTAAATCTGGTATGTTATGGTTGTATCCCTGTTTTGTGCACAAAGTAAAATACAGTAGAAAGCCGATTATCCGAATTAATTGGGACCGGGGTCGATTCGGATAATCGGACTTAGACTGTTAATAGAGAAAAAGTTACTGTCACACATAGAATAAACTTTATTAACTGTGTTTACAGTTCTACAATAGCGCTCAGTTGAAATATATCTGGATTCCAGCGATTTCTAACTTGTTACAACAAAACAAAACAAAAATTACTAGCTTTTAATTTTTTATACTAAGGACCGATTCGGATAATTCGCGATTCGGTTAATCGGCATTCGGATAATCGGCGTTCTACTGTAAATAATAAATAAAAATAATTAGCCTAGATGAAAAATAAACAAGACCAAGAGGCAAGCTTCTATGTATACAATAGTAGCAAGTTATTTTGGTTAATGGATAAATTAATTCAGGTAAATTAGGTATTATATTATAATGCTATGAAAAAGAGATATGAGATACGAAAACGTAAGAATTGAAAGTCTTAACTGATTAATCAGTTGTTGTTAAACAGGATTTATAGAGGCAACAAAAAACCAAGGGGCGGCTTTTTATTGGGCCATTTCCACTTCCTGCCTTAAAGTTAAATATTCTTTTGGCTTAGGGAAATATAGAAGTTACTAAAAATAGCTTATTGTTTTTGCGAGTCCCAAGGACAAAAACAAAAACATTTCTGTTACACCGTTGTAATTACAACAGTGTTTTGATATAGTTGTTGTTTGGTCATCTCAGTGAAATAAATAGTAAATCAGTGTTAAAACAAAGTTTTAATTCTTTTTATCAATTAGCCGTTTATTTTTTACAAGTGCAAGAAATATCTACGTATAAAATAAATAAAAACATTCAATTAACCTAATAGATGCTGCTAATGAATACTTCCAAATCAATTAATATAACATTGATCTTACAACAAGTTACTATGTTCGTAGAATAACTTCATCTAAGTATGTAGTATGAAGGCCGGCTGTGTACGACTATCTGGCGAATTTGGCGCCCAACGCGGGGTTATGCAAAACTTCAAAACTTTTTCGCGCGTATTAAGTTTCACAACAAATTACCATTCTACTACTTCTTTTAATTGTTATGTAAATACTCTGCTTACAGACGTCTCGAATATGCTTTGCCTAATTTTAAAAGCAATAAGTGAATGTAGTTTCGCCATAAAAATGCAATTATCGAAACAAAATAACAAGCAGTTAACAAACAATATTGATTAAGCTATAAATAAGAACATATGTAACTTACCAGTGTCTAAACAGATGCCCATATTCCATGAAGATAATATTTAAAACAAATCTCTTCGGCGGCAAAGTTACGACGCAATGTCCGATNGATTATGCAAATTTGAAACCTGTAATTCAGTATAATGCGCTTTCATGTTCATAGTCAAGGTCTAATGTACCTACTGTTGCAGCACAATTAAAAGATTTTACACCACTTATAAACGCCATACTATTTTTAGCTCCGGCACTTATGGATCTATCTCATCGTTACTATCACTGCAACTCTTGTTTCGGATCTATAAAATGACCACCAATAAACACGATCAGTCCAGTCCCTATGTTAAACTGTGGTTAATAACAAAGGCACTTATCTATTTTGTGAGAATGCTGCGCGTTTCCACCATCAATCCCTAATTAGGGATTGATGGTGAAAACGGGCATTAAACGTTTTGCGATTTTTCGCGTTTAATATCTGTATCGCGGTACCAAAATAGCTTGTTTTTGCGAGGTATACTTTAACTTAATAACATATTAAGAAAAAGGTCATGCATACATGAAAAAGGTCGTTTTAGGACTCATAAAAGCTTTATGAAAAGACTGTAAAGGGCCTAAGTACTGAAAAAGCTTTGACTTTGACTGTAATGTACTTACTGCACTATAAAATATTATAATTTGTTTTGTTTTGATACGAGAGACAAAAAATACCTAAATATGACGTAGGACTATGCAGATAAGTGGTTTAGGGGGCTTATAATGTACCGAATAACAGCACGATTCAAAAACATCTAAATTATAAGTACAAATAGAAAAGTCTTTTCCACTTCGAATATTCAGTCCGAAACTTTTCACTGAATTCACGAAAATCGTCCACAAATTATATGGCACGAAGAAGAGCAAATACAAATGTACTTAATGGGGGTAATTGCAATGTTTACCAAACGGTCAAGCGCACGAACTCTGAATACGGAATGGGATCGATTTGAGTCCCAGTAAAAGGCGACAGGCAGAAACCAGCTATTAGCTGCTGTTTCTATTTAGGAGTCGAATGAGTCGTCTAATTTGATCGACATTGTACGCGGTCATGGTTTACAGTAATCTTGAACTCTTTAGTGATTTTAATGGACATTAAACATGTCCATAGGAGACTAGATCGCTGCACAAATCTTAATACGCTCATTGCGGCGGTAGAGTCGTTTTTCAGAGGCTGTTTTCAGTCATTTAGGACTTTTTAAAAGTGAAAATGCTATACATCATTATATTTTGACTACATCGTGCAAGATGCGCAATTTCAGAAAACAACTTATGATTAGTGTTTTTAAATACAATACAAACGAGTACTAACATACGCTAGAGATGTTGAAAGCCTCCAAACTCAATTTAAAGCTTAAGGCACTTTATACAAGGAGCAAAAGATGCAAACTGTTGCCACAAGCCTTTAAGTTGTAATGCTCTTAAAAGCCTACTTACAAAAACAAAATAGCCACGATAGCCGAACGGTGAAGTGGTCGGACTTGCCGACTCGAGATCCGAGGAACGTGGGTTCGAATCCCACCGCCGCTCGACTATTGTGATGAGCCTACTCGTAACACAAGCTTATTTAGCTTAACACGAGGGGCTAACGGGACTATTAGTAATTTGTCCAATACAATCCCAACTAATATTATAAATGCGAAAGTAACTCTCTCTGTCTGTCTGTCTGTCTGTCTGTTACGCTTTCCCGCTTAAACCTCGCAACCGATTTTGATGAAATTTGGCATAGAGATAGTTTGAGTCCCGGGAAAGAACATAGGATAGTTTTTATCCCGGTTTTTGAAACAGGGACGCGCGCGATAAAGTTTTTCTGTGACAGACAAAATTCCACGCGGGCGAAGCCGCGGGCGGAAAGCTAGTTGCTAATAATCTTAAAAAAAAAGTTTTATGAGGTTTCTTTTTACATCTAATCCTGCTCATACAACTCGTTTGTCAAGACACGAGATGTTAGCAAGGATGAGCATGTTTTGGACAGATTCTCTTCCAGGTTATGTTAACGAACTTTCATTAATCATTCTGCAGGTAACGTAAATCGCTCTTAAATTAAAAGCTAACAACTCTCTTATCGTCGATTTCCCGTTAGGGCTAACGACTAATCACCAATCGCCGCTACAAGTGTCATAAATGCTGTACCGTTTCCGATGGCGTACTGCTGCAGCAGATCCGTCATGTTGATATGGACCACCCCGCGGCGCTCCTGCATGAGGTTGTCGCAGTGGGTCACCTTGCCGCTGCCTGGGCCGCCTGCGGACGTAAACATCTGTTAATTCACAATGGTACCTATTTGTTTTGTTTCTTTGGAATACACTTGAACTCTCTGAGGCTGGTTTTAGTGTCACGCGGACCGTCCGGTGCGGACCCGCTCCGCACGGCCAATCTGTATAAACTTGTAAAGAGCGTTTTAGAGTAATGCGGTCCGGAGGAACCGCTCGTTCCCTAGCAGTTCATACAGATTGGCCGTGCGGAGCGATCCGCACTGACAGTCCGCGTGACACTAAAACCAGCCTAAGAATGTACATCATTGTCTTTCAAAAACCGTACGACAGAAATTACAGCCGGAGATTTTTAAACCCGGAAAGCGAAGCGTAGGATGTTCACCCATAAGGTGTCGCCCAATATGCGCTTACACTAAGGCTGGGTTGTACCATATTACTTTAACCTTAACAAACGTCAAAAGTCTATCAAACTCCATACAAAAAACACCGCTTTTCGTTATAAGTTACAGCGTTTAAACGAAGGTACGAGTAGAATAGGGCTTCAGCTATATTCATCAAATATCTGCAACATACATGCCTGTAGCACTACGTAATGCATCAAACATTAAAAACTAACACTTTAATTCTACGGACTAGCTGTTTGCTATAGGCTTGAGTAATGCTAATTATACTCGTAGAGTTAGTAGCTGTTAATAACAAATGAATTGACAGAACCCTTCAATTGTGACATGACTCATACTGTAAAGTCATTATTGCATGACTTTGTTTTAATAGGTAGGTTAACGCTCTATGTAATGTTGTTTAGAATATACGCTAAAGAGTAAAGTGGGGCCCAACGTGGTGTGTTCAAAATTTACTTTATTTTAGTTTTCTTTCTCCTGTCAGTATTGGAAAATGTATCTCAATATTGTGCAATATATTAATATCTAGTTTGTATATGACGGGCGTTTGCCGGCTCAAATTTGAGAATGACGGCAGGTACCTTCAAACGGCCAGCCCACACTTTTTAATGCTGCTGCTGCTCTCAGGTACTACGAAGAGTTAGAGCCAAAGCACACGATGCGTTGCAGCGGCGGTGCGACTCCGGAGCGGTGTCACTGCGTCGTCTTACATAGAAATAATCTGTGATGGACACACGGGCGGTGCGGTGCCGCAACGCATCATGTGCTTTGGCTCTTACATAGTTACGGCTGGGAGAGACTCTACGCTTCCTCGCTTTAAACATATTGTCACTCTATATTAATAGTTAGTGCAAGATTCAGTACATACCCAGGACGAATATGACCGGCACGTTTGGCGGCTCGAATTTGACGTGGTGGATGAAGTTCTGCATAGGAAAAATACGCGACCAGGAGCACTACGCCTCCTGGTCGCGTCTTTTTCCGCGCGCCGTCTCGTGCCAAATATCCAAATGTAGTGTAACTCCATGTACCTACTAGTTAGGGCAAGATCCAGTCATTACATACCCAGGACGAATATGACCGGCACGTTTGGCGGCTCGAACTTGACGTGGCTGAAATTCTGCATAGGAAAAAGAAGCGACCAAGAGCACTACGCAGTGCTCCTGGTCACGTCTTTTTCCGCGCGCCGCCTCGTGCCAAATATACCATCATCATCATCATCATCTCAGCCATAGGACGTCCACTGCTGAACATAGGCCTCCCCCAATGCTTTCCATGTTGCCCGGTTGGTAGCGGCCAGCGTCCAAATTTAGTATAACTCTATGTACTGGTTAGGGCAAGATTCAGTACATACCCAGGACGAATATGACCGGCACGTTTGGCGGCTCGAACTTGACGTGGCTGGAGTTCTGCATGGGGAAGGACGCGGCCGGGAGACAGTGTCTACCACCATGCTATTTCCACGCCAGCCTTAGCATTACACCATCAGTAGGTATCTACATACCCAGCGTAGGTAACGTGGTACAGACCTATATGACCGCCCCGTTTGGCGATCCGAATTTGATGTGCCTTAGTTTTGAATCCAAGAGACTCGCTGTCGAGAAACACATTCTTGCTGCTTCCACACTAGCCTATTGGACATACCCAGGACGAATATGACCGGCACGTTTGGCGGCTCGAACTTGACGTGGCTGGAGTTCTGCATAGGAAAGGACGCGGCCGGGGGCGTCGCGCGGCCGGCCCACGCGCTCTCGCGCCGGCTGCGGTCGCCGCTTGTGGTCTCCAACTCATCGTTGTTTTGTTCTGGACGAGGGAAACTCAATTAAATTGCGAAATTAAAAAAATTAAACGAGGATCTCGAAATCACACTTGAAGAAATGAGAAATTGAAAGAGGTTTCCTAAAGCTTTTATATTAATAATAATAATAAATAATAAATAAATATCCTTAGACATTTTACACTGCGCTTCTAGTCCCAAACTAAGCAAAGCTTGTACTATGGGTACTAGACAACGGATATAAACATACTTAAATACTTTTTTTTTGTAAATACATGCTTATTAATAATAAGTTTGTTAAGTAATTTCGTTAGCTGCAACCGGAGGTTCCAAGAAAAAGCAAACTTTATTTAATTATATTTAATTTAAAAGAAAGAAATTACAATAAAAGTAAAATTAGGTAAGCTAGTGATACCGTCTCGAAGTGTGAAACAAATATGATTATAAAATAATTAGTAAAATTAATGAAACGTCGCCGCTGTCGTCATGAGAGGCGCATTTTGCTGATGCTGCTCCTCGCGGTCCATAGTGCAGTTGCAATGTTGATTTGGGTAAACTGGGTCAGCGTCGATGCAGCGATCTTCATAGATTAGGCGTACGTAACACCTCCCCCCGAAGAACAGCCACCACCGAAGAATTTCGTAGTGAATTGAGGTGGGGGTTGGCTTGCCCTTGTCTTTGACTCTGGTACAGCGTATATTGTCCTTTGTGTCTGAGTTTCCCTTGGTTGGCTCTAGACAGAGTCTAATTTCTTGTAGTACTTGCGGTATAGTATGATGCTGATGAGTACAGATGCACCGATTAATACCATGTACAATGGGATGGTAGTATGGTATATACTGTAATCTACGTTCTTCTCAAGATTTAACTTTGGATGCTGGGAAATCTTCATGTTGGTGGTGTGAAGATGATCCAGATTCATAGAGTTTAGTTTGACTGTAGAAATATCGTACTCTGGTTCCTTCGGTATATTCGTGATTGTCAGCACATGTCCTTTTAGTCGATCTTTGAGGTTGGAGATGGTCAACAGAGATGTTTCCATGTGGAATTTGTGTGGGATAATTGCGAGATAGCTGCCTCGATACTCCTTGTTGGTGTTGTAAGATCTTGCCCGCAGGACAGATGTACCTTCGTAGAAGTAGGGAAGTTGATGACGTAGTGGCGGTCGTCTAGTTGTTCGTATGCTGGTTGATTTAGTGTGACAGTGATTGGGCTGAAGTTTGGCTTTGGAGACTTCGTGTTTCTTCACATAAGAACCATTTGCTGGTCTTCGGGCATTCAGCCTCTATGTGCTTGAAATCTTTCTCATGGATAGCTAGGAATGGGGATGATGGAACAAGGATTTCGTGATTTCCATTAGGGACAATAGATAATTTGTATATTAGGTCGTATGTATAAGGAGTAAAGATTGGGAACTTGTACACTATTACTATTTCATTATCGACGTAATATGAAACTAACTTAATTAAGTTTAATATAATTAGGATTAGGAAGGTGAGGACTTGAAAGATTCAAGGACTTACCGCATTGCTTTCTTCTGGACGAATCGATGGCTTGATTCACCTCTGGACTGTAGCTCCCGTAGGTTCGGATATTCGAAGCGCGACTTGATAGCCACTCGGTGGGCTCGGTGAACGGAAATCTTCATACGCGACCCGGGCCTAACCGCGAATATCCTACCGACTGCGCCAATTTCGTTAGCTGCAACCGGAGGTTCCAAGAAAAAGCAAACTTTATTTAATTAAATTTAATTTAAAAGAAAGAAATTACAATTAAACTAAAATTAGCCTAGCCTAGTGATACCGTCTCGAAGTATGAAACGAATATGATTATAGAATAATTAGTAAAATTAATGAAACGTCGCCGCTGTCGTCATAAGAGGCGCATTTTGCTGATGATGCTCCGCGCGGTCCATAGTGCAGTTGCAATGTTGATTTGGGTAAACTGGGTCAGCGTCGATGCAGCGATCTTCATAGATTAGGCGTACGTAACAACTACATAATTATTTGTTTAATTTACACAACATTTTGTTCCTCATAACCAAAGTGTTCGGTGGTCACTTTTGTAAGCAGTAACCAAACATTTTTTTCAGTGATACGGGATGAAAAGCTTAAAATTGGTCATTGACCTAAGTCCGACCTTGTAAAATGCAAAGTTCAATAGAATATATTAGCCATAAAATCACAGTTACAGACGGAAATTCCAGTTAATCAAGAATTAATAGCACATTGCGTATATTAATCAAAGTATAACTACACATTCATCCTTAACACATTGAACGCCGAGATGCTAGATACAATGGAAATTGTATTGTTCGAGGCTCACCGGTGAGCCGCGTGGCGTCCAACGTGTTAAGTTACCTGATTTTATTTACGGGTCTATTCCCACCTCTCGTTCCCACCGCTGCAACTCCTGTGTAGCCAGGATCTACCTACAGCTTGACCGCCAATAAAACCCAACCAGTAAAGGTCAAGTTTTACCTGATTTTGGGTTGGGTTATTTCTCTATCTTAGATGATCATCATCATTTCAGCCAGAGGACGTCAACTGCTGAACACAGGCCTCCCCCAATGATTTCCACATCGCCCGGTTGGTAGCGGCCTGCATCCAGCGCCTTCCTGCTACCTTTATGAGGTCTTTCTGAGATGCTAAGGGACAATAAATATGCGAACATCAGGCCTCCCCAACCCGTCTGGCCAGCGTGGGGAGTGTAGGACAAATCCTACATTTGTGTAAAAGAGGGTCGTGCTCCTGCAGTGGAGACTAAATAACCAGACGATGATAAATTTAGTATAGTAATTATGTTTTTTTTTCTTGTATCTCACCTGATGGAAAGCAATGATCAGGTCAAAGATTGAGTTTCACCCGGAATCCTCAACCACAGAGGAATTGGCTGTCTTACCTCCAACTGCCGGAACACAACAATGCTGTTAACATTCTTGTTATGGCTAAAGACTTAGGTAAGATGGTGGTAGCTAGCCAGGGAACTTAGAATAAACCCTAACCCCAAACAAACCGAGCAGAAACTTTGCCCCCACTGGGAATCGAACCTGGGTCCTCTGGGTCTGAAGGCTCTGAAGCAAGGGCGGTTATAACCATAAAGTTATATGCCTTTCCGAAGGAATATTAACTTTATGGGTAAAAGTAAATACACACTATGCTAGTGATAATCACCTGTCATCCGCTTTGCACTGGAGGGAAGTCGAACCTTAACTTCGAAGTCCTCCTATGTTCTTCTGATTAATTTCGTTGCAGGTCCAATGACAGTTTAACTTTCCCCCGGGACAAACTTGACCTTCACTGGTCGGGTTATTGGCGGTCAAGCTGTAGATCCTGGCTACACAGGAGTTGCAGCGGTGGGAATAGTCCCGTTAAGCTAGTGATCATCTCATTCGTATCTTTCATAATATCCGAATCTGCAACCGTAGTTGTATTGATATTCGACCCAACATGCTCAGGTCATCTTTCATCAGACCATAGCAATTACAAAAACAACTGTCCAAGTCAGAACAAGGTAAATTTTGATGAATTACACAATCCATTGCACATTACACATATTTGACTTTGGGTAATCGCCAAATTAAAGTGTCATTATTTACATTAAGGAAAGTTCCAAAATGATTGGTATTTTAATGATATGGCTCCGGTTAAATTCATCAAGATGTGTCATTATCATTACATAATTAATACCGTCACAATTCACACAATCAACCGATGGAATCATTATTCTTCTAATTGTATCACCAAACTAGCGGCCGCCCCCGACTTCGTACGCGTGGATCCCGTTTTACCGAGGTAAGATAGCCAGTTCCTCCGTGGTTGAGGATTCCGGGTGAAGCTCGCTTCCACCTTCGGCCTGATCGTCACTTACCATCAGATGAGATACAGGCCAAGAGCTTCCTCGTTGTGGTAAAAAAAAACTAAACTTTACCCTCGGTACTATCACTTATTCTGTGACTTTACCAACCAAAGGCATTATTGCCTTGATAATTCTAAGAAAACCGCAATTACGAAATAAGTAAACTCCGATCAGATGTGCATCAAACGGTGGGTTTTTTAACCAGTCATCATTGCGTAGGATCATGTCACCGTTTAGGGTTCTTCACAGAATAATAAAACGGTATGCACATGACTTAAAACTAACTTAACTAACTCCAAAGATCACATGCGTAGAATATGAATAAATTAGAACTTTAATTATTGCTTTTTCTGTATACGGTTTGCAGGTGGTGATAACACCTGTCTAATATAATATAATATAATAATGTCTTTAAAGACATACAATTCGTTACAACAGATTGAGCATGCGATACTAATTTTTAAGGGAGAGTGAATGAAGAAGTCCTATGTAGCCTCAAGACTATTTCTTTAATTGCACAGGTTTTTTTTTTCATAGATGACAGACCGAATCTAGAACGAAAAATTATTAAACCACAAAAAATAACGTTTTTTTTTTTTGTTTAGTAAAAGTAAAGGTGGTGTTCAATGAGGGTTTTCGCGATTGAAAAATCCGCCAGATGGCAATACGTAGACGCGAGGTCCAAATGCTGCATGATTGGTTATTTTTGACATGACATTGACAGATAGGGTAATTGCGCCGGTTTTCCGTCCAGCTCCTGTTTTCGTCCATTTGACCGACTTGCCACAAACAAATACGGAAAATTAGAATACAAACCTAACTTTCCGTGCAAGTTTGGACTTGTTACAATCTATAATATCTAAGTAACAGTTCTGCCTGCATGAAAATGTAATTTGACAAGTAATAACTCCAAAAAAATCTACGGAAGTTGCTGCTGCACACAGGTGAATGGAAAACGTCGTCAAGTTAGAAAAAAAACGTGCCGGTAGGGAACTTTCATGGTATGTTTAATTACTGTTTTAGCTACTTTACGTANATGTACCTTCGTAGAAGTAGGGAAGTTGATGACGTAGTGGCGGTCGTCTCGTTGTTCGTATGCTGGTTGATTTAGTGTGACAGTGATTGGGCTGAAGTTTGGCTTTGGAGACTTCGTGTTTCTTCACATAAGAACCATTTGTTGGTCTTCGGGCATTCAGCCTCTATGTGCTTGAAATCTTTCTCATGGATAGCTAGGAATGGGGATGATGGAACAAGGATTTCGTGATTTCCATTAGGGACAATAGATAATTTGTACCTATATTAGGTCGTATGTATAAGGAGTAAAGATTGGGAACTTGTACACTATTACTATTTCATTATCGACGTAATATGAACTTAACTTAATCAAGTTTAATATAATTAGGATTAGGAAGGTGAGGACTTGAAAGATTCAAGGACTTACAGCATTGCTTTCTTCTGGACGAATCGATGGCTTGATTCACCTCTGGACTGCAGCTCCCGTAGGTTCGGATATTCGAAGCGCGACTTGATAGCCACTCGGAGGGCTCGGTGAACAAAAATCTTCGTACGCGACCCGGGCCTAACCGTGAATATCCTACCGACTGCGCCAATTTCGTTAGCTGCAACCGGAGGTTCCAAGAAAAAGCAAACTTTATTTAATTAAATTTAATTAAAAAAAAAGAAATTACAATTAAACTAAAATTAGCCTAGCCTAGTGATACCGTCTCGAAGTATGAAACGAATATGATTATAAAATAATTAGTAAAATTAATGAAACGTCGCCGCTGTCGTCATGAGAGGCGCATTTTGCTGATGCTGCTCCTCGCGGTCCATAGTGCAGTTGCAATGTTGATTTGGGTAAACTGGGTCAGCGTCGATGCAGCGATCTTCATAGATTAGGCGTACGTAACACCTTTAGAAACAATAGTTTGTTAACAAGAAGAGTTGTCTAACAGCAAACCCATTTGAAATCTTCAACTGGAATTTTGGTCTTCAAATGTAGGTACTGTTCGCAAGTTAGCGCCTTCAAATGCACAACATTTTGAGCGACAGTCACAAGTTCGTTTGATGTTTGTTAAGGGCGTTTTACTACAAATCATAATCATTAATACGCCCATATTCACAAACATTACTTGAGGTCTCACAGTGCGCGTGGACGCACAGGGTGACACACGAACCAATCAC